GAAAATGGATGGATGGATAATTACTACAGATGCATTTCATTTCGTTTCATTTTTTGAACTCTTGTTCAAAATACAGTTACACAAAGCGCTTCATTTCAACCTGTCCTTCCTAATCAATGCCCAGAGAGGCCTTTTTTTAAATAAAAGAACAAATCTGACAGAACGTTAACAGAGCAGAGATCGTTTGCACAAGCGTGGCCATTGTTCAGGGTTTTCAAGAGGGAAGGGTGTGTTCTTTTAGGGTTCTGGCATCTGGAAATGAAGTGTAATCTTTTCCACTTCAGGGGAAGAACGCTGTGCAGTCAGGTCCTGGGTTCCTGTATGTCCATGTGGCATGCTGCTGTGTGCTGTGACTCCGGAGATTGTTCATCTGCTGATAAAAGACAGAACTAATTGCCGAGCTGCCGGCCTGTCTCATTTTCCAGCTGCGATGCAGAAAATAAACAGCGCTTGCAGGGGGCGGAGAACCCTCTGTTCGGAGGGAGAAGAGGCTGAGGCTATGCACTGCTTAAGGAAAAGCAGTATCAGTGTTCAACAGCTGTCTCCGTGTCAGCACGCTTTTAAAGTCCCCACAATATTAAAACGAGCTGGTGTGCGCCGGTTGAGTGCAACAAAGCTGTGTGCTATTGATGCAGGAACGGGATGGGCTGGGAGCTGTTATAAGGAGCTGCAAGTACAGTAGGGGAGGATTGCAAACCTTGCTTTCCTGTTGCAGCGAGGAACCACTTTGAGAGGCTTCAGGGCAGAACTGGACCCCACATGACCGAGTAAATGCAGGCTTATTGGTTTTCTTGTTGCAGGATTAAAGGCCGTGTTCTGAAATCCAACACAAAATACACAGCATGAGAGGAGCACGGTTGTGCAGGGCCAGTTTCTCCAGTTGTGTGAGAACACGTGTCCGTTTATTAATGAGGGGAGGAAGTTCAGCCCATCTGGCCTGTTTAGTAGTTAGGGGTTATATGATCTGAGGGTCTCATCCAGCTGTTTCTCAAGAGGAGCTAGAGTACTTCAACAGCATGGCTGGGGGGCTTGTTCCGCACTCCTGTTCTTGTTTTTAAACCCATTCCACACAGCTTCAACTTGTGGACTCTGGTTCGTCTTTCACTCTTTATTCTGAACAAATCCCACCAATTTTACACCCAACATACAGAGAACCAGGTATTAGTATGAAATAGCTGTGGTGCATCTTTTTCCCACTAGTTTGCCTTGAAGCCATATCATTGTTTACAGCTGAAAGAAATTCAGTACCCTGTAAATAGAATGGGAGGTCTACGGGGTTGTCGGTGCTTTTAAGGATTTTGAATGCTTAAAATTCACCTTGTAGTCTTAAAGAATAACGGGGTTCAGTTCCATTAACCTGTCAGTGTAGGCCCCGAATGTGACCCTTTTCAGAAGTGATTACAGAACAGCAACATCTTTTTTTTGTAATGTGATTAATTGGACACACTGTATTCTAAACTAGTGCATTGACCAATTTCATCAAATCTTTCCGTGATTTAATTTTCACACGTCTTGCTATACTTCCCAGCATCTTGTTTGCCTTTTTTAATCGGATCCCCACATTGTCGGGCAGACATAAACGACGCGTCAACAAACACGCAAGTCTTCTCCATGAGAGGTGTCTTCTAATTCAGCGATTCCCATCTGGTATTTATCGTTTGTTTTTAAGACCTGCTTGGAATACCCCGTCGATCACAGATTGGAATTTAATAAACGAATATTGGAAAGTTACATGGCTTTCCCTCGTTTACTTCCCTGTCACACCAACGGTCATGCCCCGTCTACGCCGCTGTGCTGTTCTCGCCCTGTGTGAAGGCAGGGCGCCAGTTGCCATGGCAGGGCTGTATTTTCAGCTCCTGGAGCAGGATTAGGCGTTGCTGGGGATCCCCGGCCGTGACGCGGGGTGTCCGGCCAGGCGGGGGGGGGCTCTGGTCGCCCCTGGCAGGCGGCCTGGCTGTGCCTGGACAGCGGGGGGTGTCCACCAGCAGCAGGTGTAGCGCTCTATTAATAACCCTGGGCCCCGGGGGAGGGGGGCACTGCGTGTCACCGGCTCCAGGAAAACACCCGCTTTTCGTTTTCGGAGCGGAGTTTCCCTTTCGGTACATCTTTATAGAATTCTAGTAACCCCCTCCCCCCGCCTCCGATACTCAGAATGATTAAGCAGGTGGTCCTCGGACCAGGTGCCACTCACGCCTGTGGTGCGCTCCTCCCTTACTCTCTTCTCCTGCGCCACTGGCAGCCCAGCGTGTTTCAACTTTCGTCATGCTGCTGGCGGTATTCGGCCCGCGGCTGGAATGCCTGGATTAGCAGCCCGCTGGCAGCTCCTGTGCTGTGATTCATCCTCCCAGGAGGTGGGGGTGGGGTGGGGAACTCTAGTGCCTCGTTCCAGGTTCCCAATTTAGCCCCGCTGCAGTCTTACTGGGTCCAGTTGACGACCTTGGTTTCCCGGGGACCAATGAGACGCAGCAGACGGGATGTTTGCGGGGGGAGGGCGAGCTCGGACTGCCACCTGACGAGGAGCGTCCCACACTTGTCTCTCCCCGCTGGGGGCCCCCGTGACCCGGCTGGGGGAGCTACACTCCCTGCGTCTGTGCTGGATCAGAGCCTGCATGGGCCTCGCCAGCTCTCCTTTTACTGGCTTGTTGGGGGGGGGGGATGAGTCAGGGCTGTTGTCCTGGTTTCAATGGTAATAATTCAAAATGACTGTGTTACTCTTTTTTTCCCTAAGATCCCCCCCCCCACCCCAGAGCTGGAGCACGGACTCGCATACTGAAAAGTTTGATGTCGCTGCGTGCGGGTGACTGCGTCTGTTGAAAATGTGTGCAGTCCTGAGAGGGAGCCATGTGCTTGGAAGAGATGAATTCTTCCCACGCTACCTACCTTCACCAATTTCTCACCATGCTGCGTGACTTGAGGTTTCGAAAAGTGGGGACGCTAATTCCGCTTCAGAAGCCTGCAGTCCTCCAGAACGGCCCGTTTCAGGGGTTCAGCACGAGAGCGGCACTCCGACAGGAAAGGATGGGGGTGTTGTCATGAAATCTTGTTGGAAGTGATTAAATACGAAGTACATAAGGGCTCTTCAGACACGGGTCGGCCTTCGGAAGTTCAGCTAATGGCCTCCTCCATGTGCTGGCCTTCTTCCAACCCGTCCCTTTGTACACAGGGCGCTCCCAAGCAGAGCAGGCTGGGCTTCAGAGCTGAGACAGTGGCGCATTGTTCCAGGACTCGCAACTGAGCTCCTTTTAACAAATAATGTCACTGTGTGAAGACAGCGGGCTCTCCACTCACTACTTCACTGAACTCCGTTTTAAGGACTTCCTAGTCGAGCTACTGCAGCTCATCTTTCACGTGCGTCGAATTTTTATTTTTTTTGGCACAGACTGAATTTGGCTTTTAAGTGAAACCGGAACAAGATTTCTTGTCCTGCTTCCTATTGCAGAAATGTCTTGTTTACAGAGGTATCGCTACCCTGACGCATCCTGGGGAAACAGCAGTTTGCTTAAATACTGCACTGGGACAAGATGCTGTAATCTGACTCTGTAACATCCCTTTCAAGCCGTAGACTTGATTGCGTTGTCTAGGATCGCTGAAGCTGCTGTTCTGATTTCTACAATAGGTCTTTCGTGTTGCCAGCACTAGTAAAGCGAGCCTGCATGTCCAGTCAGGATGGTTATTGACGGTGCTACAGAAAGGGATATGTTTTTTTCTTTTGTCTCTCTGTACTCCGTATCATCTTGCAGTAATAAGAATAATATCCTTTCACTTATATACCACTTTACTGGACACTCCACTCAAAATGCTTTATGGGTAATAGGGACTCCCTTCTACCACCACCAGTGTGCAGCACCCACCTTGATGTTGCAACGACAGCAAAAGTGTGCCAGTATGCTGATGAGCTATCAGTGGTGAACAGAGTGGTAAAGCTAGTTCATAGATGGGTTTATTGGGAGGCCGTGATTGGTAAAGGCCAGGTTTGAAATCTCATCTGAAGGATGCTGCCTTTTTTACGGTATTCCCTGTTACTAAGTATTTGGACCCACACAGACTGCAGGGTGAGCGCCCCCTACTGGTCCCACTAAAACCTCTTCCAGCTGAAACCTTAGCTTTCCCAGGAGTATCCCATCCAGGTACTGACCAACCTTGCTTGCTGAGCTTCAGTGGGCTGCCAGGTGTGAGCTGCTGAGTGATAGTTGTAGAGTTCTTCATCCCTAGTCCTTGAGAACCCAGGTCCCACAAGGTTAAATCTCCCACTTCTTAAGGCTTTCTAAAGGCCCTTTACTTGTGATTAGTGAAATAAGCGATTTGTTAAATTCAGTAATTTTATAGCTCTTTTGAAATAAAAGTTGGAAGACTCTATAGCGGGGTTCATTTCATTGAACAGATTACCTGCTTTCCTGATCGTTATCTTAAGGGTATTCCTCATCTTTAATCAGCTGTTTTAGGGTGGTTGTGAGCCTAACTGGAGCTCTCCAGGTTTGAAATGATGTCCAGTGTGAATGACCGTCCTGGTTGTCTGTGCTGAAGTGCCTTTATGTGAGGGTAAGAGTACAAATTTCTGTAATGAACTGGTGTCCGAAGGAAAAGGTAACTTTGTGTTCATTCCCAAAGTCAGGGGACTGTGGGGTTTCCTGTAGAATTAAGTATTTCATTCCAGCACGCCTATTCCCCACAGTCTCGGCAGTAACCGTGAGGTTTGCTTACTGATTTAACAGGAGGAGGACTGTAGCGAAGGGCTGGGGTGTGGGTGATCTCTGGATGTTTCCCCCAGTCCTTCCTCTGCTGTTTCTGGCAGAGGTGGGCTGGTTTCATTCTCCGTGTGGAACAAAGAGTCCGTCTTCTGCTGCCAGCGTTAAATGTTATACTATAAATAGGCTCATCTTGATAATTTGCAGTCCTTTTAATTACCGGATGTCACAAAGCGAGCAGTGTTAGCTGTGGATTTTTGTGCACAGAGCAGTTTGCCCACATGCAGTGACTGGTATTTGCTCTCTTTATTGCAGGTGGGGAAGGAGACTGTTCAGACCACGGAGGACCAGATCATGAAGAGAGACATGTCCCCGGCCTTCATTAAGTAAGCATGCCGTGGGCGGACGCAGGTCTCCGCAGCGGGGTCTGACTGTTGCCGGTTCTGGGGGACGGGCTTTGCGGAGGTTCTGCCGGAGAGCCCCCTGTTGCAGGTGCAGAGATGATTACGTAAGGGTTGCATAGAGGACGAGCCCATTCAGCACCATCCGATCTGTTTGATTGTCATTCATTGGTCCAAGGATCTCGTCCGGCTGTTTCTTGAAAAATGCTAGGGTACTGGCCTCAGCAGCAGTTTGGTGTTCTTTAGTCCCACAGTCCTTTGCGTCAAGTGGTGCCTCCTGATTTGGGGATTTAAAGCAGTTCTCCGCAGTTTCCACTTAATTTTCACTATTACCTCTGATAAAGTCCTCTAGGCTGACTTGTTTCTCTGCAAGTCAATGTAGGACATTCCCTTACAGTTTATAGAATTGTGCGATTCAGCCTGTACTTAGACTTGCTTTTCAGGCTCTCAGTAGTGCCCATGGTGCACAGTGATTTCTACAAAACCCTCGAGTGGCCAGCAAGGTTTGTGTGTTAATAAGGGGGTGGTAATGGAACTTAATGGTGAGCCACACTCCAAACTGGTCGTCAATGGAAACATTCTGCCCCATTGCCATATCACCCTGCAACTCACAACTAGAAGCCCACTGAAGCTCAGCAGGTGTGAGCCTGGTCAGTACCTGGGTGGGAGACCTCCTGGGAAACACTAAGGTTGCTGCTGGAAGAGGTGTTAGTGGGGCCAGTAGGGGGCGCTCATCCTGCAGTCTGTGTGGGTCCTAATGCCCCAGTATAGTGATGGGGACACTATACTGTAAAAAAGCGCTGTCTTTTGGATGAGTTGTAAAACTGAGGTCCTGACTCTCTGTGGTCATTACAAATCCCAGGGCGTTTCTCGAAAAGAGTAGGGGTGTAACCCTGGCATCCTGGCCAAAGATCCCCCTGGCCTTTACCTATCATGGCCTCCTAATAATCCCCATCTATGAACTGGCTTTATCACTCTGTTCTCCTTAATAGCTGGTGTGTGGTGAGCGTTCTGGTGCATCATCCAGGTGGGGCTGCACACTGGTGGTGGAGGGGAGTCTCCACTACCTGTAGAGTGCTTTGAGTGGAGTGTCCAGAAAAGTGCTATTGAAGTGTAAGGACATTTTTATTATTATTTGCAAACTAAACTGTTTGAAATAGTTAAGAGAAAGTACAGATTCCAGTAATACATTGTGATCTGTGTTTTGAGTTTAACCTTCTGTATTATGCAGCAATTTGAGGGATGAAACAAACTTTGCAATCCATCCCCCTGTCAATGACGTTCTGTAGAACATCTGCACCCTAGATTGTTTTTATCACTGTGTTCAGTACTAAATTCTGAAAACAATCCTGTTGCTGTTCAGGTCACTGCAGAGGTAGTTATTCTGCATTATCAACCACGCTAGGAGTTAAGTGTCCCTCACTGCTGCCCACTGTAGTAAAGCCAGTCCTGGCTGCCTGCTTCCCTCAGCTGTTGCAAAAGAACAGTGGGGAAACTGAATATGTTAAAAGTTAGAGCATTAATGCTTAAAACTCGTGAAACTCTTGCATGAACTGGGAGGTTCAGAGAAATAGAGTATTTTCCTCCTTTCTGCTTCTGTGAATTTTGTCACAGAAGCACAGGAGTCCTGTAGCTGTCTGTGTAATGCTAAATGTGTGAGTTCTGTTCAAGCACTTATGTTGTGTCAGTGCCATAACCAGGAAGTAAAGAAAAAAAGCAAATTTTCTCCTGGAGGTGCTTTGCTTAAATTGATAAGTTGAAAATTATACTATCATGAAATTCATCATAAGCACAACCAAAAGAATTACATAATCAGAAGAATATGTACATCTCTTAATGCCATGTAGAATAACAGTAATGGGCAGTACTGTCACTAGGCTGTGTGGAGCAGCAGGGTGATACTTATAATAGCTGGTTAATACATTTGTAATAGCAGGACAGGAAATAATCCGATAATTGTGCGGAACTACCTGTATTGCCTTTAGGTGTTTTCGAACGGCTGTAGTCTTAAATACTGCAGTAGGAAATTACATGAAACCGTGCAATATTAACGGTATGTAGGGTCTGAATTAGTGCTTCTCAGGTCGATAAAACAGTGAGATATAGTTCAGAGAAGGTTTAGCAAGGTATAGTTTGCAGACCTTTCTGGATGGTTAGTTCAGTGTATCCATAATTCAAATAATCTTCTTCCCTGGAACATAATGGCTTTGCTAAAACAGCATTGTGCTTCTGATCTTTTTTTTAAATTTCAAAGTGTCACTGCATGTTAGTGATAACAATCGTTATGCCTGAGCTTACTTTCACTATCATCCACGTGGCCTGCAGAATTGGGACAAACAGCTGCTGGCAGAATGAAGAGTCAAAATTTAACAGGAGGAGGACTGTAGCGAAGGGCTGGGGTGTGGGTGATCCCTGGATGTTTCCCCTAATCCATCCTCTGCTCTTTCTGGCAGAGGTGGGCTGGTTTAATTCTCAGTGTGGAACAAAGAGTCCGTCTTCTGCTGCCAGCGTTAAATGTTATACTATAAAAAGGCTCATCTTGATAATTTGCAGTCCTTTTAATTACCGGGTGTTGGACTCGGGACGAGTGAGGATGTTTATTTCTGGCAGCTGCGTCTGTTGCTTTGGGTAGTGGGGAATGCCTTGCTCAGCCCAAGGGAAAGGGAGAAAATTCACTTGTAGCAGAGTTTTTTACAGATGCCCTAATTGCACGCCTGCTGCACAGCTGTAGCAGAAGTCAGGGTCTGCTGGAGTGGATGTACTTCCCCCTGACAGGGAGCGGAGGGGAACATGTCACAACAACCGCTGATCGCCACCCTGAAATGATCACCAGCTGTTTTGTAGGGTTAAGGGTTTTAAAGGTCCCGCTGTCTTTTAACGCTATTTGAATAACGCGGTTACAAAGAAAATCCGGGTGAGCTTTCTGTGAGGAGTGGGTAATGTGCAGCCTGCAGCTTGTTGGAGGCTATCTCTATTGGCTACGCAGATCTGAAATCACTTCCTGCCGACTGGGCGCGTGGTAGAATCGAATTTTGTTTGCAGGCTCCTGTCTGACTGCAGCCCGGAAGCGCCCCAGTTAGATTGAATGATTTCCGGGTGGCAGCATCTTAAGTCTGGTTAAGTGGCTTCTTTGTCTCGGGCGGGACTGCTGTCCTAATTCACGCAGAGTGGCGAGAGTGAGAAACGTCACCACGGAGGAGAGCTAAGCCTTCAGACTGACGCATTTCACAACAGAAGTTAGCGGTTGACCCTGACATTAGTCCGTGCCCCACCACAGCCACAGACGCCTTTCCTCTGTCCCACATCCAGCGCTTCAGTTTGCAGAACAGCAGCCCTGTCAACGACCAGCATCCATCCATCCATCCCTTTTCCTACAGCTTTATCCAGTACAGCCTCACAGGGGAGCTGGAGCCTATCCCAGCAAGCAGCGGGCACAAGGCAGGCTACACCCTGGCCGGGATGCCAGCGCATCACAGGGCACACGGATACAGACACGCACACCCTCACACCAGGGCCAGTGTTTCCAGAAGCCAGTTAACCTCCCAGCATGGACTGTGGGAGGAAACCGGAGCACCTGAAGGAAACACAGTAGATTGTGCACATTCACTTTTTACTGTTGCTTTCTCCTGATGTGCAGTCCTCCTCTTCCACTGTGGTCATTTGCAGATCCAGTTCCACTGTTAAACATCTGTAATTAAAAAAAAAATACATTTTTGAAACAGTTGATTTATATATTGATGTGTTAAATTTGAAGTTCCAAAATGCTGACAAGCAATTCAATGAGAATGCAAAACGATGCAGCATTTCCAGTTTTGTGCCGCAAGCAAAGACTGTTACATGTGGCCATTATCAGTTATTTCTGAGGAACAATAATTAGAAAAAAAAACATCTGACAAACCGGCTACTATGTGTCAGGGCATGGGCCCTGAAGACTCTCCTGTTTGAAGAGATATTAATGTACTTGGTTCAATTGCAAGTTACACTTTGTGCCTCCTCATCTGCCTGGTCTCTGAGCTGGTTTGTCCCTTGAAGGATGTGGTCTGGGTGCGATCATGGAATAGCACAAATCATCCGGTGACAGAGAAGTATCCTGCCAGTGTCTGTTCCCAGTATCTGCTTCTGCTGTGCCGTGGATGACCGCCGGATTTTCTACGATGTGAGTTTTTCTTTCTGGATCGTCCCTGCAGGGTGGAGAACGCCTGCACTAAGCTGGTTCAGGCGGCCCAGATGCTAAGGGGGGACCCCTACTCCGTCCCGGCACGCGACTATCTCATTGACGGATCTCGGGGGATCCTGTCTGGCACCTCGGATTTGCTTCTGACCTTCGACGAGGCGGAGGTAAGCCGGTCGGTGTGCCCTGTGAGCAGGGACTCGTGGGATGGCGACTGCCTCTTGTGGCGGTGAAGAATCCTGCAGCCTGAGGCAAAATCAGACCTGCGCCCCAATAAAAATCTTGATGCTTCACTTCGAAAGAATTTAAAGTGCTAAACCATCTGTAGTTCGCCTCAGTGCTAGACTCTGGGAGCTCTGGGGAGAGCTCCGTTGATGTTTCTGGCCTCTTACGTTAGAGGTGTTGCGTTAGTTTGTGATAAACTCTCCTGTGGTTTTGAACTTCCTTTCGTTGTGTTCACAGCACTTCCCGTCGGTGGTCAGTGCCCCACGGTCTCCTATCAGCGACGTCTTGTTGAGTTCTTTATTAGGTGACAGAAGGTCCAAGTTTAATTTGCTTTACATCTTTGGGGAGAAAAAACTGCATCACCTCTTATCACAAGACTGTGGGTAGTTACTGTTTTATAGGGCTTCCTTTCATATCAAAGCATTTGGCCTTCACGATTAGCCAGAACACTTTTGGAAAAGGCAGGGAGAGGTTGAGTTAGCTGGAACTAAACAAGCAGCTCAGCCATAGAAGCCTCTTTCAGTGAGCCCAGCTCCTGAATGTGGCTCTGGAAAAAGGGAGAGAAAGAGGGAGTCTATCCATTTAATCACCACTTCCAAAACTAAAGAAAAAGTGTTGTCCTCCATTCTGGCATTTTGTGAAGGAATACCAAACAATAAAATCCTTATGTTTACACAGAGATAAGATAAAAAGGGGAATACTGTTTTCACCTGGGGTGCATTCATTTGGTGCATTTTAAGGGCCTAATATAAAACTCTTTACTTTCCTCACCCTCACATGAGTAAGTTTTTGTTTGCCTGATGTTTTCTGAAGCTGCTGCTGGTTCTCCAGGGCCAATTGGATTGTGGGAGGAAAACAGAGCACCCGAAAAGAACCGTGCTTGTCACATGAAACAAATACGGTGTTGATACAGCGCTGTTCGGTTTCCTAGAATGGAAGAATATTTTTGCTCTCTTAATGTGTTTTGTAGTGACCCTGGCTTTCGTGTCTTGGAATTGCAGGTTCGGAAAATAATCCGTGTGTGCAAAGGGATCCTGGAGTACCTGACCGTGGCAGAAGTGGTGGAGACTATGGAGGATTTAGTCACGTATACGAAAAATCTGGGACCAGGTCTGGTGACCTCATTTTCCTTTCTCTGAATGCCCCTGCTCTCTTCTATGAGGCGTTTGCTCCCCAGCACTTGAACAGTAACATTGAAATATAGGGGGAGAATAATTTTATCAAGATTCTTAACCATATTAGATTAGAAGTCAACGTTTTTTAGGGTTAGGCCGTCTTTGACTCTACATGGCTTTATCCATCCTTGTCTGTGCTATATTTATCTTGGACTTATGTTTGCTTCCATTTCAACACGTGAGTGGGACTTATCCCATTGCAGCAGTAAGGAGTGCTGTCATCGTATCAGTTGGGATCACTGCACCTTTGCACGATGTCACATGGAAGGACATTAGCAGTAAAGAGAGGGAAGGAAATGTTTTGCTGGCTGACTTCCTTGTATTGCCGTGACCTGACCTGATGGTTCACAGTTGTGCCTGATGTTGCGTGTTGGGGTGAGGACCATGGCCATCTCTTGCTGAGCAGGCCTGTGTGGGCTTTTCTGCAGGCATGACGAAGATGGCCAAGATGATTGACGAGAGGCAGCAGGAGCTGACGCACCAGGAGCACAGGGTGATGCTGGTGAACTCCATGAACACCGTGAAGGAGCTGCTGCCTGTGCTCATATCAGGTGAGCCAGACACCTCCCCGGCAGGACTGGAGCACCTACAGCATCTCCCCTGTCACGGCTTGGCCTTTCAACCGTTTTCTGCTTCAGAGGGAGGTGGAAGGACACCTCTTACCCCCCATCGATCTTTCACAGCACTTCGGTTTTTGGTACTTAGGCGGGGTCTATGGATTTGCATAATGGTGGCTGGCTGAAGGCTCACAGAAAGGGTCATGTGTTCGCATTGGGGCCAGCCTGCCGTCTCTTCAGAGAGCCACTTCTGCAATGCTTCTGCATTGTCTTTTACTAAAATTGTCCTAGAGGTTTGCCACTCTTTCGCCGATGACGTTGCGTCGCAGTTGAAGGTGTCGTGTTGTATGGGGGGCTGATATCGCGTTAGACCCATGGGTTAGCAGCCAGATGGCATGTTGAAGTGAGACCAGAAAGACCCCAGTCGGTGGCCGATGTGGAGAGCCAGAGAGAGACGGGGTAGGCCCGAGGAGGCTTCGTTGAGCCATGGGTGAAAGAGAACGGACTCTCCTGTGATGCTCTGAGGCGTCTCGTATTTTGCTCACGCCGTCCCCTCTCTGTCCGGTCACAGGTATCAAGATCTACGTGACGACAAAGAGCTCCCAGAGCCACGGCGTGGAGGAGGCCCTGAAGAACCGCAACTTCACCATGGAGAAGATGAGCGCCGAGATCAACGAGATCATCCGCGTGCTGCAGCTCACCTCCTGGGACGAGGACGCCTGGGCCAGCAAGGTAGGGCCTCCCCCCCACCAGCCAACCTGGCTCCTCGAAACCGCGCCCTCCTGCCCCCGAGTCCGCGGCACCTCGGCTGCACTTCAGCCCCCAGGGTACCCACGAGGCCGTGCGGCGTTGCTGCAGCTCGGCTCACAGCTGATTCCTGGCCCTTTAAAACCAGCTGATGCTCAAAAAAAACACACCTGTCAAGTCATGACAAACTTCAGTGGCGTGTACGCATATCCTATTAAAACGAAGGATGTGTTCCACAGTTTTTCAGTTCTGTTTTGACGGTTTTGGGATACAGTTATTCTGTGGAATCGTACTGATTACACCCTTTCCACGGGTGACGCACGTTCCCGTCGCGGATGAAGAGGGCGGAGGGACTGTAGTGCGTTGTCACCAGCATCCAGCAGGGCACCATTTCCCACTCTCTCTCTCTCTTCTCCTGCATGGGCGGCGCCCTTGGCGTATCCTCTCTCTCCCGAGTTCTGAGTTTCATTTATTATTTACTGTATATTTTTAAGTGTTGCTATATTTGGCGTTTTAATTTATTAATCAGCACATGTTTATACCTCGCCATCTTGAGTGGTAATTCTGTAAACTTCACTTGCACAACAGCTAAGGAAGGGCCGCCTCCGACTTGCGTGGAACTCGGGGTCCGTAAAGCCTCGCGGACAGTTAAACAGTTAAACTGCCAATCCTTTTCCCCCCCCTTTGGGATCTTTGCACACTCCTTAGCTTGCTTTGTAAAGATTTTCTGTCTTCATGACACTTTTTACCTAGAAGTTTCCACCAAATATCCTTTTTTCTTTGCCGCTTTTCCATTGGCTTGGTTGTGATAACTAGTTAAACGTGTACTTTTTGTTCTTCCTTTTCTTTTTCATTCTTTTCTTCCCTGTAGAAGGTAAGCCTGCGTCTCTCCCCTCGGTGTGCTGGCGCATGCGTGCTGGGTCAGTGTGCAGTGTGCAGACAGTTTAGTGCAATGCAGTGGCTTTTGTGTGTGCTCTTAGTTTTTCCATCAGTAGCCTCTTAATTATCTGTGCCTTGTGGGTGAGTAATACCTCTCAGAGTGCTGAAACGGTGTTGTGGATGTCATGATGCTGTATTTGGAAATGCAGAGACTAATGTCTATGAACTTTCGACATTGGGTTTTGTGTTGCAAGATTAACAGCCATAAACCTCTGAGCTCCTCTCTTCCACGGCATGCCACAGTTTAGACAGCAGGACAGGGCCTTTCTTTGCCTTTGATGTTGCTCTTTTCAGAATCTTCAGGAGATGTGTGGGAAGACATTTTATTTTTATACATACATTTTCATTTCATATAGTGCCTTTAAAAGTGGCTTCTCAAAGCACACAGTACACAGTTATAATCCGCTTTTGGGAAACAGTAGGAAGGCTAAGGGGCAGATACAGAATCAATTAAATAAAAGCCCTTCTAAAGAAGCAGATTTTGAGTCTTCATTTCAAAGTGCTCAGGGAAGGTGACTCTGATATTCTTGGGGGCAGAGTTCAAGAGTTTTGGGGCGCAGCAGGAGAAGGTGTCTCACCTAGTAAAGGTGCTGTGCACGTTAGGGTACTGAACGGAGCAGTGGAAGGGGTATAGCTACAGGGAATCTCCTCAATCTCCCAGCTTGTATCGTTTACCCCAGGGGTTCTCCTGGTCTCGGACTGCGGGTGCTTCTACAGCTTTTGAGTCCAGCTGGGCCTGTGATGACCTGAATCAGCTCCTTGTATGCTTAAAGAGACCTGGCAGTGCCTTGGGTGCAAACCAAGAGGATGAGAAGAGTCTAATTCTGAAGAGGGTGCTTTGTGTTTCCCCAGCAGAACCTCTCCTCACATCTGTTAAGAATACCCCATAAACCAGAGGCCTTTCGTTTTCCCTGGCTTCTTCCTAGAAGAAGAAACCATGATATCTGCATGCCCTTGGAGTTATAAATTCAACAGTGTGTTTTGATTACATGATCAATGTGAGCAAGGGCCTTATTAGCCTCAAGAAATACCATTTGTTAGACCAGTGCTCTGGTGTGTAAAAACTCCTCTCAACATCGTAGGGTTTTGAATTAATTCCGTGGTGCATTAGGTTAGCAGAACCTGGACCAGCTCTCGCAGAATTACACGGATCAAGTGGGGAATAAAAAAGCAGTGGAGAGCCACTGGGCTCGGAACGACTGAATCCCGATTTCTGCTCAGTTCGTTCCAGCTGGGAGTTTTGATGTTCTGGTCCGTCTGATCATGTCTGTTGCATCTGGCTAGAGCTCGCAGACGTAAAGACTCAGAAAAGGCCCTGCGCCTTTCTCTGCGCTTTTTTAAAACTGTGGCGTTGGCGTGCCGAGTGGAAGGGAGGAGCTCCCAGGGCAAACGCAGGCCAGAGATGACGCATCGAGCCTAACCTGGAGTTTCTCATCACGCAAGCCGAGTCCCACTCCTTGCGTGCACTGAGGAGCCAGCTTGCCCTGGGAATGCCATACTGTGTGTTTCTAATACTAACCCTCATCTGAAAAGCACAGAGACCTGGGAAAGGACATCTGTAACGTGTGAGCCTGGGTATTGCGTGGTGATCCGCCTGCTCGCGGTTGGTTTTGCAACCTGAGCAATGGCTGAGATTTGAGCTACAGGGCCATGTGAGAGCCCCCTGCTGTAAAGTGCCTCTCAGCCCTGCAGTTAGATATTGAAGAAGGTTTGATTATTCACCTACTCCTTTACCACTAACTCCCTGTGCTTCATGCCTGTGTTTTTTCTGTAATGTCTGTACTGTGGGAGTTTCAGGTCACTTCCTGGAACCGATATCCTGCGCACGGTTTGGGTTTGATTTCACTAGGCTTTCGTCAGCTCTGGGCTCATGAACTCTGGTTTTCCTGACATTAGTAACTCCACTTGAGAATGTCAAGGTGACAGTAGACCTGGAATGTTAGTAAAGTAGAAGAGCTTTAGGTGTAAACCGATGCTTTATTCAAGGTGGGGTATGTCCGATACATTATCAGTCTGAAGCAGGTCGTCTTCTACTTTGAAACTTTGTTTTAAGATATCGTGCATGATAAATTACTGTTTTTTTCATTGACCTTTAATGGAGTTATGATCAGAGTCACTTGTCTGAGCTGTTGTATTTTGACAACAGAAAGCCTTCCCAGCAGACCATTAGAGTGTGCATTGGTGCTGCCACTGTATGTCTGTGTCTCTTCAAGTCTTCCCCTGCAGTCTTATCTCTTTATAAGACGTAAGACTGTCTTTACTCTGGGCTCTGTGCGTTGTATGTAGCTCTATGATTATATACAATCTTGACTCTGCTGCACCATTGCACATGCTAACAATGCCTCCTTGAACAGATAATTTTGGCAGTTGCAACTGAAAGGAATTGAGCTGTGATAAATTGCAGAAGTTGCTTCAGGATACGTTTTTAATCTTACAAGGCAATACAAAGATGTGAGCATCCTCTTTTGGACCTGTACAGGAGGGATGACTAAGCCAAGCTAACCACAACCACTGTTTTATCCAAAAAAGGACATGACTCTTTCATGCTTAGTCACTCAGAATTGCAGCTCAACATTAGACTGATGTGAAGCACTTACGATGAAAAAAGTATTAGAACATATTTCAATAGGGATGACAATGCCGGCTTCACCTAGTTAGCAATCACAGGCTCAAATTATTATTCTGCCAAGACTGTCATGCTATACATCTGCTAACGCTCACGAAGCATGAGCAAGCAAATGTAGATGTAAAAGCACTTCTACAGTCAGAATTAGATTTTTGGTATGGTAAAACCACATAGTAGTAGCTGCTGTAACTAGTGTCTGAAGTCCTCTAGGTACCTAGGACTGGGGTGCTGTATAACATGTTCTGTATGTGTGTAAAGTAAATGTTTTTTTGTAGTTTAGAATAGTGAGTTTCTGTTAATGACTGGAGTAGCTATTGATTTACTTCATGTCTCAGCTCAGAGCTGTGACCGCACACAGAGAATGAGGAAGTGTAGGCAGACCCCTCTCAGCCACCCCAACGCAATGGACCAGTCCGTTTAAAACGTTTGTCCCAGAGGTTCAGTGCCCATCGGGGACAGCCATGTCCTTCATTGCGTGTCCTCGCCTGTCATCATGAGAGCGCCCTACTGCGCTTCTTCCTCCCTGCCCATGCTGACCTCTGACCTAACCAGAGAACCTGAGCACATGATGTGATTGATGTTATACAGTATCTGGACTTATTCTGTGTTTCTAGCTATATGCAGTGTAAGAGCTGATGATCTTATTTCTTAAATTAAATTTATGAATATATTACGTCAGTATAGTGACGGGGACACTATACTGTAAACAGGCGCCGTTCTTCGGATGAGACGTAAAACCGAGGTCCTGACTCTGTGGTCAGGGCGTTTCTCGAAAAGAGTAGGGGTGTAACCCCGGCATCCTGGCCAAATTTCCCATTGGCCCTTACGAAGGGTGGAGGGGAGTCCCAGTTACCTGTAAAGCGCTTTGAAAGGAGTGTCCAGAAAAGCGCTATACAAGTGTAAGCAATTATTATTATAATAAAACCCGTCAGTTCAAGGCTTAGTTCTGGCCTTCCGGAACAGACTGGGCCATGGAAGATGTCTTATTGTTCACCTGTGATTCCATCTGTGCACTAAAACTACACGGTTTTTACTTGAGTTGATTTAGCGATCAACTTAATTCCCTGGACAGGTCTATTTGAGGTGTTTAACTGAGTGGAGCCTGGGGTGGGCAGTCAGATGGGCTGAATGTTGACGTACCTTGCTGTGCGGGTGCAGAGCCCTTCCTCTGAAGGGCATTTGCGTTAATGCGCTGTCGTCCTGTCCAATCTGCAGACACAGCACCTTTCTTTCGTGGCCGATGTTAATCTCAGAACCTTTCCATCCGTTTTTGCACAAGTTCTTAGAGGAGCCTTTTGTTAGTGGACTAGTTTTTTTTTCCCCGTTTCATTGTTTGATAACGTATATTGTATTACCGAAGGTTTGTGCCCCGTAATAGATATTTATTGTCTTTCTTTCTTCCCAAGGACACTGAGGCCATGAAGAGAGCCTTGGCGCTCATTGACTCCAAGATGGCTCAAGCCAAGGGATGGCTGAGAGACCCTAACGCACAACCAGGTACTAGTCCCGGTCTTCACCTGGTCTCGCTGGCCACCCCAGGCCTCACCACCAGCAGAAGACACCTACTGAACAGGGTGGAAAGGCGTGTGCCACTGTAGTGTACACAGGGAACAGGTGTGAGTAGGGAGCATGCGTAGACTATGAAGAAAAAGGTCAAGGTTTATTCCATGCTGCAAGGAAAAGAAAAAAGGCAAGTTTCGGCTGTGGAGCTGAAACTGTGGAGATGTGTTCAGACCAAACCTGTTCCTGTACAGAGGGAACACTGAGCTGATCTGTCCAACAGTAGGTCGGGGAGAGACATACGGAGAGAGAGAGAGAGATGAACACGGGAGTGATTATTTGTGGGCAAAAAGATGCTTATGGGACGAGAAGCCCCTGTTTCCTAGGCGTCTTGCCTGTGAAGGTCCAAGTGAGAATTTCAAGGTTGCACTTTTCTGCCCCGGGCTAGGGGACACTGGCGAGCAGGCGGTGAGGCAGATCCTGGACGAGGCCGGTAAGGTTGGAGAGCTGTGCGCCGGCAAGGAGAGGAGAGACATCCTGGGCACGGCCAAAACTCTGGGGCAGATGACCGACCAAGTGTCAGACCTGCGAGCCAGGTATACATGATGTCAGGCT